AATAGATATTGTATGAGTTATATGTGTGTTTTTAAATTAAAATCCTATTCAAGTTATCTTACATAGATTTTTCTGGTGATTTTTCCATTACATCTTTTCCTCACTTCCAGATACCAGAATTATGCCCTACTAACCAGAATTCAACCAGGTCCCTATCCCTTGTGGGTTGGATAAGCATAAGCAACCTGTGGTCTCTAGTCTTCAATTTCTATATATTTAAATCAGGAATATAATAGTAATGACAATAATAGTAGCAACAACAATAATAATAAAAACAATACAAACAGGCCTGGGTGCCAGCATAGGCCAATAATATCAGCCATTTGGTAGGAGGATCACAAGTTTGTGACTAACCTGAATGACTCAGCAAGACCCTGTCTCAAAATAAAATAAAAAAGGCCTGAGAGTTTAACTCAGTAGTAGATTGCTTGCTTTGCATGTGGAAAACCCTGAGTCCAATCCCCAGTAATGAAAATAAAAATTGCCAATATGTATTTTAGACAAACTTTTAGACGCATTTATTGGTATGATACACTTGACAAGCCTAGAAAATGCCTGGCATAAAATAAAAATAAACTACACACAGAAAGACACATTCACAACTATTATGTCCATTTGAGGAGGTCTGAAATGGTCTCATATTTTTACATAGAAATTGCTTGAAGGTAATGCTCAAAATAAGCACATATTTTCCCAACTGGCAATCATATCATTACTTGGAAAAAATGTACAAAATTTTATCAAATCCTGTTCCCTGTGTCCTGGTTCCAAACAGGAGGACTACAAGTGGAATGAAGGTCTGTTTTAAATCAATGCAGTGTTGTTTGGCTATCCATCTTGAAGGATTATTCTACCTAATCACAGTACATGAGCAACTTGCACCATTGCTCAAGTGTCTTGGGATGCATCTTACGCTAAATTTAGTTGAATTATTTGCTATATATTCCCTTCATATCCTTGTACTACCTATTTCATAATGTTCATCACACTCATTTGTTTAGGTTTTGCTTTCCACACTAAACTGAAAGGTAAATACCAGGAGGCACCTTGTGTTTCTTGATTGCAACTATATCTCAAACTTTTACACACTGCCTAATACACAGCGGAAACTTCCTCAGTATTTGCGGTAAAGAGAGATTGTATATTCTTTTCTGCTTTTAGCAACATGTAACTTCAATTATATCTACATTTCAGATATACTACCCCCAAGAATCCATAACTCTAAACTCAAAAATTAGAAAGTGCACTTAAAAACGAATTTAGTCAAGTAAGAAAGAAGCTTCCAATGTAAAGTTTGATTTAAAAAAAAAGTAAAATGTGAGAGAAGGTGTTGATTTATATCTAAGCCCTATGCAAAGCAGAAAAAGACTTTTCTGTCTAGAGGTGCAACTTTTTCTAAGAGTATGTGTGAGAGCACAAAGAAAGAGATAGAAGTGAAAAAAGATAAGAAAACAAATGAAGAAACCAAAAGGGTAAAAGCAAGAGCAGAAGTTGGATTATACATGAGACAGCAAATAGCTAATATGTGGTAGTGGACAATAATACTGGTCACAGAGGAATCAGTTGCATAGCCTGCCTAAGAAGAATACATATCAACTTCAGTAGCTGCTCAGGGTTTTGAAAGACAGACAGCCAACAGTCCAGCACAGGTAATGCTGACACTGAACAGCAGTACAAAAGCAAGAGAAACTTTTATAGTTTTGTGTCTCCCCTAGATATGCATCACAGTTCAGAAAATGAGGCTGGCATTTGCTGCAATTTTACAGATTTTTAAAAGATGATAAAGCCAGGCATGGTGGGGCACATCTGTAATCCTAGTGACTTGGGAGGCTAAGGCAGAAGGATCACAAGTTCAAAACCAATCTCAGCAACTTAGTGAGGCCCTAAGCAATTTAGCAAGACCCTGTCTCAAAATAAAAATAAAAAGAGTGAGGGATGTGGTTCAGTGGTTAAGTGACCCTTGTTTCAATCCCTGACACCTAAAAATGAAAGTAAAATAAAAATATGATCAAGCTATAAAAGTTAGTACTTTTCTATTAAGAAATTGTCTCTCATGCAGAACCATTTTTATCCATGGCTTCAGAAAATCAAAATTTTTATAATCTCTCTCTCTCTCTTAATTGTTTTGTAAAACTTCAAACTTGTCTGTAATTTGCAAACCTACCAGCTAGTTCCTGTTTTCCTAGCCTGCTCTTAAAATGATTTCTTAAATCTACTTTGTGGTCTACCAAAGTGAAAATGGTTTCTGTGATTATTTTAGACTTTAATTTAGAAAATAAATAAACAAACTTCATATTTTCTTCCTGGAAGCTAACTGTACCTTCAGATACAGTTTTATTCACTAGAAATATTGGGAAAAATTATAAAATTTAGTGGTAAAAGATTTTTTAAAGAGAAGCTTGGTATTGCTCTAGTTGAGAAGCATGGTGTCATTCAGAATACTCTTTTGAAACATGAAAACTAATTTTTGTTAAAATCAACAGATATAATCATAGGAAGCAAACTTTTATGTGTTTGAGTGGTACATTAACTATAGGATTGAAGAAATGTTTCCTTTTGTCAATACTGCCCTCTAGTGGAATAATGGGGTACAAAAAGAGCATGGTTTTGTGGAGTTGGGTGCATCCTTAATTTACTGCATAATAGAAGATTTGTACAGGAGCAGATTTATGTATATTTTTTTCATTAGATGTCCCTGAAGCATAAACATAATGAACTATTGATTATGTTAGTTGGCAATGCATTTCAATAAATTTTCTTATCTGAAATAATGCATTGTGGAAGAACTATGGGCAACTCCTGCACATCTTAGCCACAATAAAAGATTAGAACCCCAAAATATGTACAATGTGCCATAAAAAGAAATATTGCTACAATATAACTGTATTGATTTATTCTTCATTCTTTCAATGGCAGGCAAAATAAAGGGGAGGGAATCCAATCTTTTTCAGTAATTTACAACTTTTGGTTTATGTGTAATAAGCTTATGACGACAGATTGTAAAAATTTTCACAGTGCTTTCAGTTTGAAGGTAAAGCTAGTGAATACTTCCCTGTGGGCCAGCGGGGGAGGCCACTGTACTGCACATTTTAAACAACTGTATTGATATAAGTGAAATGGCACCTTTTCCCCTTTAAGAATCAAATTTCACAAAAAGTACCTTGTAACATTAAGAATTTAAATTTCCTTGGGGGGAGGGTGATAAAGAAGAAAATTCACGGTAACCTATTGAGCTTATTGAGCTTTAGAAATTGAGGTAGAAAAATTTGCAATGTTGGGTTCCTTCTTTTCTGACCCTTCAAAAATTATTGTTGAGGGTTGCAAAAGCATTCCCAAACCCTTAATTAAAAGATATACTCATTAAATCAATTGGCACTCCAGAAAAAGAAGAAAAACGTGTGAATGTAAATACTTTACATATTTACCCCCTGCTTGGATTACTCAAGATCAGTACATTATATGATCCTCATTATAGAGAACCAGTGCTTCCTAAGCTTATTTACTTTCCCAGATTCTATACTTCATAATTTATAAAGGAAGTCTTCTTTTTCATAGAAGAGGTTGTGAATACCACACGGCAAAAGGAAATGATATCTTTTATTTTTCAGGTTTGCTTACCATTTAAGATCTCTTTCTTATTAGTATCTGCAGGCTTATTCATATTCACAACTCAGAAGTTGACTCTGTTGTGAGCATAAAGGAATCTCTTGTTTGATTGTAAGAGATAATTATCTTGACCTTTTTGCACAAAAAGAAGTTTACAGTTGGTTATTTTTTTGTGATTCCAATTTATATTATACAGTAAAACCTTTGTGTCTGGACATATATCAAAGACTATGTAGAATGTAGAGTGTCTATTTTTTAATTTAATAGCAAACAAATGAAAGGAAGAATAGATAATTAATAATTTTAGCTTTGTGCCTTAATTTGTTTGACCTAAAATACCCCAAACACTACATGCATAATAAGTATTTAAAAATAAACCACTCATTTTAATAAACATTATTTATTGCGAAAAAATGGTATTTAATCCTCTCTAAATTGTAAAGTGGTCCTGAAAAAAATGGTCAGACTCCATTTATGGGAGTTGATTATTTATTTTAGCTCTGATGTATGAATAGATTAATTCAGGCAAAGTCACTAACCTAATGTGTGGATCATTGTGTTTACCTGTCAAATGTCAGTTAAATGATACAAATACAGGGGCAATTTTTCTTGAGTTACCACAGCATCCCAAGGACTGGCTTATAAAAGTGGGAAGCTCTTGATAAATATTTTAATGAGGAATGTTACATGAATAATATGTCCCATGTGTTACCAAATTGAGAAAATAAAATAATATATATATGTTGTTATGAAAATTTTAATAAACAGTTTTCTTTCTGTAAGTATATGTAATTTCAAATGTCATTATTGGAGTGTGCTACAGGAAAAACCTTCTTTATATCATTTTATATTTATAGGAATGAAATGAGGGGAATCAAAAGATATTTCACAGTTTGTGAAATGCTATAATTATAACATTACAATAAGTATATAAAATAATTTACAGTTGCTACAGAAACATATAAAGAATTTTTTTAAATCAACAGCGAAACAAATTAAAAAAACCACCTTTACTTGTACTGTCTCAAAGGATGTTACTTTATAAGAAATAGATTTTGTCTTGTTATCCAAGATTAAAACATGACATCCTATTTTGAAAAGTATCTTAAAGAAAATTTCAAGCATATTTTAGCCTCTAAAAGATGTATTTTGGGGGTGACAGACTGTTTACTCCAATGGAATGGCCTTCGATGGGTATCACACACATTAATATTGCAAAGGAACTCTGGCTATTTCCTCTGGGGTATCAGTCTTAAAAGAGTAATGGAATTGAGAGGATAGAAGGTTGACAGTGGCAAATGAGGTGTGTGATATGAAGAGCTGGAGTCAATCTAGTCACTGTGCCCCTAACCCGATTTCTACCGAAGCACTAAACTCTTAATTTTGTTTTCTAGGATATGAATGATTATCCTCCTGTATTTAGTAAACGGATCTACAAAGGGATGGTGGCTCCAGATGCAGTCAAGGGTACACCTATCACTACAGTTTATGCTGAAGATGGAGACCCTCCTGTAAGTAGAAGATATCAATGAATTCTCTGAGCTATAGGAGGAAAATTCTTAATACCCACGAGTGATCTGTTTCCCAATACAGCAAACACAGTCCAACAGAGTTTCATTCTCATTCATTTATAT